TGTGCTTGAAATTGGTCCCTGGCACAAAAAAGGTTGGGGACCACTGCCTTAAGGAATGACTGGGTGGGGGAGAATGGAGTCGGCAAGGTTGGGCATGCAAGTGATGTCGTGCATGCGCGATAATGACTGACTGGGCAGGAAGGGGAGGGGCAGACGGAGAGGGGAGGGGCCATCCAGGGGCACAATTTGCCGGTTCTCCAAACTGCGCAGAATCATAACAGCCGGTTCTGTAGAACCGATCCAAACTGGTGGAATCCCACCCCTGGTTTGGAGACAAAACCAACTGAACGTGGGGTTGGTGTCATGAAGCAAGAAATGAAATCAAAGTCAGATTTCCATCTGAAGGGATAACTTTTCTTTCAATTGTTGCCAGCAGCAGAAAACAACCCCGAAGACCAGAAAACTACAACGCCCCAATCAAACAACACCGAGGCTCTTTCGACGGAGACAGAACTCTTCCTCCCACCTCATTCCAGGGAGGAGGATGAGACGGAGCCGTCTAATGTCCTCCCGGAACCGGATTTGGCAAGGCAATCTTTAGGTCGTAGGAGCGTGCCATCCCTTCACCAAACACGGTTAGCCAGACAGGAGGAAATATCTGGCATGGAAGTTGAAAAAGTGGCTGAAAGCAGCCCCCCCCAGATTTTGATGCCAGGAACCGAAAGTACCATTGAAGCAGAAACTGAATCCATGGAAAAGGAGGAGAGTTACCAAGAAAAGTGCCAAGAAAGCTCACAGGACGGAGGAAAAGAATCGAGGCCCAGTCTGGGAAAGGAGAAGTTAACTCCAGGTCCCGAAGATGCCAAAGGCAGCATAGAAAGCATTTCCCAGAAAAGAATAGTCACGCCTCAAAGGCAACAGCGAACGCATTTTCATGGAAGCAGTCCTGATGAGGAACTCTTCACTCTCATAGAGTCTTTGAAGACTGGTATGTTTGTTGTTTAGTTTAGTGTATCAAACACCATCTTCAGTGCACATCATGACCATGAAAATAAACACAAACACACATCCTTCACCCGCCACACATTGAACCGAAAACCCCAGACACAGCACCAACACTGCACTCACTATACAGTAGAGTTCAAAAGAGCTGCTGCCCTGGGATAGAAGCTGTTTCTCAGCCTATTTGCCCTTGTTTTTATTGTTATCCTGTACCGTCTGCCAGATGATAATAGTTCAAAAAAAGGGTGCCCAGTGTGAGATGGATCTTTGAGAATGTTTTGCACTTTCTTAACGCAGCGGGAGCTATAAAGCTCTTCCAAAGAGGGGAGAGGGCAACCCATGATCCTCTGGACAATGACGTTAACCCTCTGGAGTGCTGTCCTATCTGCCCCTGGGCAATTGGCAAACCATACACAGGAGCAGTAAGTTAAGATACTCTCTATGGTGCAGCGGTAGAAGGTCACCAGCAGTTTTCCATCCAGTTGTTATTTCCTGAGAAGTCTCAGTTAGTATAATCTCTGCTGGGCCCTTTTGAGCAGGGCTGCAATGTGAGCACCCAGGTCAGGTCCTCTTTTAGGGTAACACCCAGAAACTTAAAACTGGCCACTTACTCCACTCAGTCTCCATTGATAAGTTGTTGGGGCTTGAGGAACACCCCAAAAAAAAATGCCTTCGTAAATCAACTATGCCAGGGATCCTGAACTCCCGGGCCGTGGCCTACTACTGGGTCTGGAGCCATTCGGAACTAGGCCGCAGTGGGTGCACACAACATCCCTACTTCCCTGGCCAGTGGGCAAGCAGATGCCCACGTGCTCCATTTGCGTTAGTGGCAGGCATGAGTGCCCACCATTTGTGCAAATGGAGTGTGCACTTAATGCCGCTTGCATGGAACCATCCCCTCTCCTCCCCCTTCCCTCCTTCCCCTCACCCGTCAGCAAAGCCAGAAGGGTTGGGGGAACTCTGATCTATAGTTGGCAATTATTTTTGTCTCCACTAAAAAAGGGTCGATTGCTTAGAAGCTTCTGTCAGTGAAGATTCTCAGTCATCCAGGTCGTGGTCGTCCCAAGGGTGCTTTATTTAAAAGGTAGCTGGAGTTTGTTTTTCCTTGAAGACGTTTCGTTTCTCATCAAGACGCTTCTTCAGTTCTCAAGTCAGAACTGAAGAAGCTTCTTGGGTGAGGAGCGAAACGTCTTCAAGAAAAAACAAACCCCAACTGCCTTTTGAATAAAGCACCATCGGGACTTAGAAGCTTCTCTTGCCTCCCAAAATTGTTAAAATACTTTTCCTTGAGTACATCCAGAATAAACTTAGACACTAGAGCAGAGGTCTCCAAACTTGGCAACTTTAAGACTTGTGGACTTCAACTCCCAGAATTCTCCAGCCAGCATGGAGAGAGTTCTGGGAGTTGAAGTCCACAAGTGTTAAAAGTTGCCAAGTTTGGGGGGCCCCTGCACTAGAGTAACCTTCAAAAATACCTTTTAGTATTTTTTTTTTTTTTACATATGTGTCTGAATATCTGTGACTGTTTCTTAATTTTGCCAATCTAGGCCTGGGCACAAGAAGATCATCCACACCAATCAACGCTGAGCTCCCAAGAGCATCTCAAAGACATTTCTCAACTTGGCTGAGTAGAAAAACTGTCAGCCGTTCAGTGAATGAGATGGCGGCACTCATCACCAAGGAGCTGGATAACATTATCCCAGAACTTGCAGGACAGGATATGGCCAAGATTGACGCAGGAGAAGGAGCTTCCCTTCGTGAAATAAGTAAGTGGACATGGCTGATAGTTAGCCAATTGATGTGTGGAAGCCTTTGCGAGAATTATGTGGAAAAGTGCTCTGAATGGAGGTCTGTTCTCTTGTACCGTTCTGGCCCTTGTTCTGGAAAAATTGCCTTGAAACATGTCCTGCCTCTATATAATTGATTAGGTGCCTCCAACTTAATCTTATCATGTATAAAACGCAGGCTCAGTTCCAGTGGTAGGATTCAAATTTTTTTTACTACCGGTTCTGTGGGTGTGGCTTGGTGGGCGGGGCAGGGGAAGGTTACTGCAAAATCCCCATTCCCTCCTCACCCCACCCCACCAACCTACTTTCCAGCTCCGTTCTCCTGTGCAGGGCAACCAAAGAAGACCCAGCCAATCAGCTGGGACTCGGGAGGCGGAGACTAGATGGGGGCGGGGCCAGTCAGAGGTGGCATTTGCCGGTTCTCCCAACTACTCAAAATTTCCGCTACCGGTTCTCCAGAACTGGTCAGAACCTGCTGAATACCCACCTCTGCTCAGTTCCCCTCATCTCCAGTTAGAACAGGGGAAGGATCTTGTTTCAATCACAGATTAGTGACTCTCAGTCTCTGTAGGTAAGATTGAGTTTAGAGATCTGACTCCAGGCCTTGAACTAAGCTATATAATCATTTAGTTTTGGTTTAATGTATATTGTGAATCCAGTCTTTTTTTTTGGTGTGATTTCCAGAGCAACTCTTAAGTAAAGCTGCTGAAAATTGGCTTTGTTTTGTGACTTTGGGGATAGGAAATACCCCAAAATTTTCATCTAAGCCTTAAAATAAACATGGTTGTTGTTGTTTTTTAAAAGAGCCTCACTCCAACACCTCCAAAAGCCTAGGAAATCTACCCTCTTGTATGCTTTTCATTATCTTCCCTAGGATATTAAAATCTGCCCAGCTCCTAGCTTGTGAGTTACTACGACATGAAGCCAGACAGGTATAGTTTTACTGAAGTTAATGAAGCCATAACTCAGGAGAAATGAGCAGCATCTGGCAATATCTCAATAACAGAATAACAGAGTTGGAAGGGACCTTGGAGGTCTTCTAGTCCAACCGTCTGCTCAAGCAGGAAACCCTACACCAGTGATCCCCAACCTTTTCGACGCCGCGGCCCGGTACCTGCATCAACTGGGCGCCGCCATCTTTTTTTGACGAAAAAGTGCTTCCGGTGAGCTTTCTACCCGGAAAAGCTCACCGGAAGCACTTTTTTACCAAAAAAAGATGGCGGCGCCCAGCAACCAGCGGCCCGGTAAGGCTTGTTCCGCGGACCGGTATCGGTCCGCGGACCGGCGGTTGGGGACCCCTGCCCTACACCACTTCAGACAAATGGTTGTCCAATCTCTTTTTTAAAAATTTCAGTGTTGGGGCATTCACAACTTCTGGAGGCAAATTGTTTCACTGATTAATTGTTCTATCTGTCAGGGAATTTCTCCTTCATTCGAGGTTGCTTCTCTCCCTGATTAGTTCCCACCCATTGCTTCTTGCCCTGCCTTCAGGTGCTTTGGAGAATAGCTTGACTCCCTCTTCTTTGTGGCAAAAATCCCTTAGATATTGGAAGCCTGCCTTTATGTCACCCTTACTCTTCCTTTTCATTAAAC